CCTATTGTTAATTTTGCCTCTAAATAAAATCTCTACCCTACAAGATCCAGGTCTTTGCAGACGGCAAATAATTACAGTAAAAAAAAAAAAATTATTATATCTAACAATGGTCAATCAAAAAGAACCAATTCTTTTCACGTCAATAACTAAATATCTTTCAAATGACTTTACAGACCTCACCCAGCTTATCAAACCTTTTTTCTAAAATAACTGTTTTTATTTTTAGAAGATATGGTCTTCAACAACCAAACAGCTCACAAAATACTTTTGAAGAATTCATTATATGCTACCAGAATAAACAGATTTGTTTATTGTTGGCAAATAATAGATAAGGGTTGTTATTTCAATTAATAAATTATATTCAAGGCACGTCATACTGTTTTAAAGTTGGTTAAAAACTTTATCCATTTTTGCACCAACTTAATAGATAGAAATTAAAAAACAAAAGGTTTGTTAGCAATATTATTAAAATTTCTTAAATAAATCATTGTCAATTTATTTTTGAATAATATTTTTCTTCTTAATTTCAAAAGTTGTGAGACTTAATGGAGGCTTATTCTTTATTTCCAATCCACACTGATTACTAATGATGTTGGAATCATACAAAAAAAAGCTAAAAAATTTAAAAAAAATATAAATATTTTTTCAATTGAAGAAAAATGCAAATCAGTGTGATTTCTCATTTTATTTCTAAGTATGCCCATCTGCTCAGGTCAGTTTGTGTTTTTCCAACACTCACAGGACCAAACTGCAAATTAGACTACAACTATATTGAGTATCTGACGAGCTACAAATGGTTTTAAATTCAGAGCTATTCTAACAAGGGCTAGAGAATCTAGTCTGCTCTGCTATTTAACCCACAGCTGGGGGAGAAATGGATTCATACGTTGATTTTTGTGCAAAAGTGAATGTAACAATCTTGAACAAAATTTGAACTTGTTCAGAACTTCTCATTTTAAGGATTTACAAGCCATTAAACAACTACACTCATCAAAAATGGGAAAAATACTAAACCTAAATTAATAACAAACTAAAGTTATACACACCAGCAGTAAATAGAAAAAAAATCATCCATTAGACTTTTTTTCATATCAGGAAATTTTCAAATGATAGTTCATAAATAAACTACAGATATAAATTTATTTTATAGATATTTGCTTTCAGTAGAAATGTTGACATGTAGCCAAATATTTCTTTTAGCAATAAGTTTTTTTTTCATTAAAAAACAAAAAAAAACAAACATTGTTAATTATTTACACAAGAATTTTGAAGTTTGTTTTTTATAGATTGAAAAGACACAAATAAAAAAATTGTTTGCATTCCATAAAAAAATAATGAGAAAATTAAAAAGATTGATTGAAACAAATTTTTCTATAATTAGAAACATTTTTCAATATAAAGAAATGAAAATTATTTTTTCTTCATATATGAGAAGTATATATTCTACATTGACCAATTTATTGAGCAAACAAGACAGACCTTTCTGGGGGTACTGAAAATTTCTTAGCCCAACCAAGAATGGATTTGAAAAATAAAGAAAAAAATCTCATGTGTGGGTTTGGTCATTTAGTAAGTGGATCGAGTTGAGATTTTTCAGCATTTCTTCATAATATTTCTTAAAAAATAATTTTTGAAAAAAAAGAAAATATACTCAAAGTGCAATATGCTAATTTTCTGTCAGTGGTCCTGATGGGGTCATAATAAAGCATGAAATGTTTAGTGACTTGAGGTAATGAGTGTGTTAAGAATTTTTTAGTAAAAGAATACCAGGTGAAAAAAAATATGGATGATTAGAACCTGATGGAAGATTTGGTTTAAAAAATATTCACCAGAAACTATAAAATACTTATGTGGAAGGCATTGGTAGGATTTGAACCCCAAATAAACCTAAGATTTAGTAAATTCAGTAAAACCGAGTTTTCACTACACCACTTCTCATCCCCAAATTTGTGGTGTCAAGATTAATGTATTTACCAAAATTTTCTAAAACCCAGGAAGTGTTTATTAGTGAACTATTCACCCAAATTTACATTGATTCTTATCAAAATGTGAGAGTCCAGAATTTGACTGGAGGAACTTTTGGATAGGTCATATCTGCTGGAAGGTACTTTTGAATATAGCCATATGCATTCCTAACAGGAAGTTCTTTGTAGGAAGATAATATACATCAATCCCAGGAAAATGTCTATATAAGACAGAACCTGTAGTAGCTTGCTCAGTTCACACCAGAGAATTGTTTATTGCATTTAGAGAGAATGCTATCTTTCTATTGCACTCTTGAAAGAATCACCAACACAGATAACATCTACTCATGCCTTTAACTTACTCAACACCTCAAGATCTTAGTGGAAAATCAACAAAGAGTGAGTGTAACCTTTCACAGCTAATGGTATTAAATTGTTGGAAAGTTTCTACTTTGGTGTTTATTCTTTCTACTTATAATCTTGTTATCTTTCAAGTCTCCAGTCAAGAAAACCATGGCTCTCTAGAATGAACAGAAGATTTTTTCAGTTACACAATATTAAACCATTAGATGACCATATGAGTGACAGATGAAAATATTGAATGAACAAAAACATATATGCCTGCAACATGTTACACCTCATTTGATATTTGGTGCCAATAATTATAAGAGGTGATATTTGGCATTGTTACTGATTACATGTGAATATATGTCCACATTAATGTGTCACAGTAAACTCTTAACTGGAATCTGTTAGAATTCTCCCTCAAACCTTTTCCCTTTTTATAACTAAGTTGATTCCATGAATAAAACTTATTTGTCTGAAGAAATTCATAGAACAAAAACCATCACTTTTTTCCATCTTGTCATTTATTTGCCAATTAGTTATGAAGAAAGAAAAAAAAAGTGACAAACTCATAAAATTAAAAAACCTTTCTTTCAAAAGCGTTCTTTGATATAAACTGCCTACACTGCAGCCACTTCGACAGCTTGAACAGGTGGAACTTATGCTCTCTGTGTAGCGCAGCCTCTGAATTCGGGGAATGTCCAAGCAGGCATCAGTGTCATCATGTACCATGGTACCGCTGCCTCCACGGTATGAGTTACCAGCTTTGTGTTAAAAAAAAGTTTTTCAAAACCAAAGATTGTTCATGGCAGAACAATTGATCCATTTAGAAGTATGCTTTACACTCAGTTTCAGAAGGTCCATGGTTAGTACGACCATCTACCTTGCTTTTATTTTTTATGTTTTGTGTGCTGTTGACAGACTCACTGAGGATACAACATCTGCAACCCTCAGATAAAAGAATCACTTGATGGTGAATTGTTTCCAGTGGATTCAGACCGTCTTTTTAATGTTGTGCACTTTATTCAACCATGGCTGGGATTGAGAGCTTGACGTGGATGGTGGTGGTGATGGTGGTGATGGTGTTGCTGCTGATGATTATGTGTTTGGTTCAGTGACTGATTTGGGGCCACAGGCACATCTTGCTTCTGCTTGGTTTCCCTTTCATTAGTATCCATGTCTTCAACAGAGCTTGATGGTTGGATTGATATCCGTGGAATTTCAAACTGAATGTCATACTGCCAGCTCTGGGTCATGGTATTGGGAATTTCTTCCATGGTACAATCAGCTGGGGGAAGCTGGGCAGGTTGTAAGGAAGGACTGACCACAGCTAATGAGGGAAAACTTTGAACAGCACTGTCTATCAACTCACTGACCACTTTGTGGCATATTGCTTGACTTTCTGTAGGCAGTGAGCTTGTTGGATTGCAGTGGGCAATTTCACGTTGTTGCTGTTGTAGGTGTCGGCCTGACGAGAAAGTAGGAGGGGAAGAAGAGGGAGAGGAAGACATACATTGTGAGTTGTAATTATGGAGGTGTCTTGATAACTGGTGTTTTTTCTGTGACCCAGGGGATGGTTGAGGTGATGACAGAGACTTTGCCTCTACACCAGCTGCTTCAAAGACCTCTGGGTCATTGTTAGTCTGGGTAGCACATGCACTGTTTCCATCCTTATCTGGAATGTTATTACTACTACTAGAGTTCGTGACACTATCCACAATACTGATATGTTCATCATCTTCACATGATGACATGTGGTTGTTAAGACTTCCACTTGTGCTTATATTTTCACTTGAGATACCAGAGTCTTTACTTGCACATTTATTTAAAGAAGGATGTGATGAGATTTCTATACTGTCTACAGTCCTGCGGTCACTAGCAGGTGATCCTTTCAGTATGATGGTCACCACTGAAGGAGAATGGCTCATTTGTCCAATGCTGAATTCACCGTCACTGTCTGGAGTGACTGGACTTCCAGAATTTGGAGAATGAACAAGAATGTCTTGTTGACAAGCTGCAGAGTCTTGGTAGATGGCAGGTGCCAAAGATGAGATGTTCAAAAATCGGGCTTCTCCAGAGGCAGCCTTTTCTGTTTGGCAAGAGACTTGAGACTGACTGTCCATACTGTTGGGGTTGCTAAGAGGTGATGACAAGTTTGGTTCATCAGTACTACACAGGGCCTTCTCTAATGTGAACAGTTCATCCCGACTCAAAGTATAAAGAAGTTCTCTGAGGTGAGAGGGGGGAGAAAAGAAAAATTTTGAGTGTAAATTAAACAAATTGATTCATTTCCTATATAATGGTTAAAATCTCAACTAATTCTTGGGTCTTGAAATACTTCTTATTGCTCTGATACAGATAACAGCTTTTATTTCCAAGAAGGAAATAGTGCTAGTCACTTCACTGCATTTAAAGATTTGCTTGAACTGTTTTTTATAGGTTATCAACCTTTTGCATGTTATTTAAAGCCAGAAAATATTTTTAGTTCATAAAAAATATTTTTTTGGAGATGATAATGGTTTTGTGATACAAGTCTTACTAATTAACCTATAGCTAAGAGGAGAAGAGGTGGATTCATACTTTTCTCAAGGGTATTTGTGTGTAAGTTAATATAACGAACCTGACTGGAATTGGAGCTCAGCTCTCAATAATTCGGAATTGTTATTCACTACATCATTTGCACATCCAAACTTACAGCACCTAGTATTCCCAAGTGGTCACCCATCTAGGTACTGACCAAGCTTGACATTGCTTGACTGGTGAGCATACAGGAACTGGTGTTTCAATGTGATATGGCCATAAGCCTTTGCATTTAAAGAGGAAGATTATTCCTTGATATCTGTACTTAATGGAGAAGCTATATGTACCTTGTTATAAAGAACAGATGTTCTATTTTTTTAACACTCATATATATGGATAAACATTTCTCAGGTATATTAAAAGAAATTGAAATTTAAGTGAGACAAAGTATAAGGGATGTGCAATTGAAGAGGTTTTCAAATATACAAGTTTTATTTAAAATTTAAGACACGAGATTGGGAGCTAGTGCACTTACAAATTGACAAGCTAAAATAAGTGTTTCCAATAATGCTTTTGTTCCTGCAAGCAGGTCACTTCTGTGACACAAACACAGAGAGAGAGAGAGAGACTACAGAACGTGTTCACTGTTGAGGAAAGAAAATAACTCATTCCAACACTGCAGCCTGTAGCCACTTTCAAACTTTTCTCAATGGCTGCTGGCAGAAAATTATCTGCCTCCTCAAGCAAATCCTTAAATACACAAACTCATAAATATTCATTAGCCAATGGTATTATAAGGATGGCACTTGCTCATGTTCACTTGTCATGTTGCAAATGGCCATCTACATGCAAAGCACACAAAGCATCTCAAAGATTTTATAGAGCTTTTTAATACTTTATTATACAAGTGCCTTTGTTCCTTTTATACAAATTTCCTTTTTTTTTTGTTCACATGTTTGAATTGGTTTTAGTCTTTTTTTTATTACCTCTAAATAAAAATTTAAAACATTTTTCCAGATTTATCAATGCAATGGATTTGAATTTTATGAGAAAACTGATTAATAAGTTATTTTGGCAATGTTATTTTTAAAGTTTTCTCCACTTAAAACTTATTACTCAGCTGTTTTGTCTTTATCTCAAAGTTAAGATTCTAGGAGATGAACTAAAGCTGCAAAAATAAATATGCTTAAAAAAAAAAAAAAAAAAAAAAAAAAAAGAATAATAAGTAAGAATTTAAGATTTAATGAACATATCTAAGAAAAAGAAAGTGTAATTCAGAAAAGATGAAGAAGAAGAATTGAAGGCCTTTCTCTTATAAGATATACAAATTAAATTCATTTTGAAAATATATTTGCATTTTCTAGTCATTTAGAATTTCTAAAAAAAAAAAGGTCATTAAACCTCAATTTCTGTTTAATAAATTAATAGGCATATAAGGAAAGAAACTGACTTCAATCCTTTAGAGACCTCTGGTGGAAAATTTGATAAACCAATTAAAATTTATCAATCAAAACACTTGAAAGAATTATTAGTTGATTATACATTTCTTTTATAGTACATTTATAAAAATCTTTCACATTATTTTCTTTTGAGTAATAAGATTAAAATTAGTTATCTTTAGTTCGTCGTCATATATGTTTTTAGGGATGAAAATAAAAGGGACTTTTTAAGAATAAAAGAAGTGTTGAAAATTTGGAACATCTCTGACATGTTACTGGTTTCCATATCAGGATTAAGAGGGCCTTCAGGATAGACCAGCAGACCACTAGGAAAATAAAGCAGATAAGAGAGATATTTACAGGATGTACAGTAGGCTTTAATCTTAAAATTTTGAAGAGAATTTTTAAAAAAATGAGTCTTTAGTAATAAATGAAAAAAACAGAAAATTTTCATCAGTACACAATTTTTTTACTGAAATAAAAATTTCAGATCAAACTATTGAAAAAGAAAATCTTACAATTCTTTTAGCAAAAGGGAATATAAGCAAAAATTAACTATATTCCTAATAATCTAGAAATATAAGGAAATATTCGCCATATTCAAAGAGAAGATAGAAAATCTAAGTATAAAAGACCATATCAAAGATTTATTTATTTGCGGAATTCCAATAAATAGGGAACATCATTTGAAGAATGGAACAATTGAAGAAAGTTAGAATATCATCCTGTCAGAGAAATGATTGGAATTTTAATATTGTTTTTGGATTTATTTACAAATTTTGATTGGTTTCTTTCAAAAAAAAGAGACAAAAAATAAAAATATTTACACATAAATATGAAATCACTTATGTTACAGATTGCCGTGAATGGTATCATGTTGCTGGGAATGTAACTGACCCCTTTTCTTTTTGAAGAGAAACTCTCTTATTTGATTAGAGTTTATCTACCTGAATGATTAGGAGAATGGATTAGTTCAAATGTTGTGGAAATAAAAGTAATATGAAGAATCAGTTCAATAGTCTAAATAACTTTGAAAAGATTATGAAAAAAAGAAATTAATTAAAAATTCATTGAAAATTTAAAAAACATATCTAATGATAAATTAATGCCTTGCATTTTTATATCCATCAAAATCAGCATTTATTAAATCAATAAGAAAAATTTTGTTAAAACATTTTCAAAAAATGTTTATGGAAAATCATCATTCAATTCCTTTTTGACTGTATCATAAAATGAACAAATTTATATCAAAAAATTTTTTAATAAAAATTTTTTCAATTAATTTTCAGTTTGTTGTAATTGCAGACTGAAGATTTGGTTGATAAATTATTTTATTTTTTGGTAATTTTTTTTATTTTCATAAAGAAGAAACTCAAAAGTATTTCACAGATCTCTAATTAGAAAAAACTATTATAATAGAACATATATATATCTATCTATTTTTAAAATGATGAGACAAGTTACTAATCATCATTTAAATTCTTGTTTTAAATTCATGTGGTAACATTTAAAAGCATTCATTAGAATGGTTTCCATGAAAATATTTATAAAAAACAATTAGTCTTCTCTATTTGGTTTTCAGGAATTTTCAATAAAAGATCAAAAATCAGATCAAACATAACATTCACAAACCCTTCTTTGGATTTTATCAACAATTTTAAGTGATTTTATATATATATATAGAATATATATATATATATATCTAAAATGAAATGAGAGATATCGAATCGAAAATTGAAAACAACAGACCAGATATGACAGCATTATTCAATGCAAAAATAAATGGTAGATTTATAAATTAAGGATAGTTGGTGAAAATCTTCCTACCAGCAACTAGTTCATTATAACAAACTCTAGTACATATCAATGAAAACAGGAGACTAAGAGGAAATTCTATCTTCTAAATGGTTAACATCAAAGAATCCCTGATGTAGAAAAATCAGTTGAAAATTGATGCTTAAAAAATAGCAAAAATTTTAAAGGAATTAAAGTTTATAAAGAATCAATTGTCTCAGTTAACTGAAATTATTGGACCCAAATTAATTAAAAAAAAAAAGTTTAGATTTTTTCTTTGTCAAACCTATCAATTTTATTAAAATAAAAATATAGAACATTTTTATAAATACCTAGTTGGGAAATTATGAAATCAGGAAGGTTGATGTTGAAGATAAAAAAAAATGTAGAATCAAAAGTGAAAATAGTGAAAGATCTATTGCATGAAATAAAAAACACAAACTTCATTAATTGATTTGTTTAGAATGATTGGGTTAAGTCAAATATCCAACCAGAGACACTATAGCTCAAACACCTCAATGAGAAGTGTTTAATAGACAATGTGGTTTATAAGGCAACTGAGATTTGTAGGCCTCTGAGACAAATATTATATTGATTCAACAGATAGACCTATTAATTATATAAACAAAGATATACAATAAACATGTGAATTAAAAAACACGCACACCACTGTTAAAGAAGAATTATGGGATATCAAGGATAAACTTAAAAAAAAAAAAAATATAAAACAATAAATTATTTATGTAACTGAGTAGAAAATTTTGAAATGATAAAAAAGTTATAAAATGGTATTGGATTCAAAAAAAATCTTTTAATCTTTCTGGGTTATTTAAAGCCAGAAAATCTTTTTATATTTAAGGCAATTTTTTTTGAACAAAATAATTGTTTTTTTGATACAGGTCTTATTCATAACTGGAGACAGAATAAATGGATTCACACCTTCCCCAAATCTCTCTTTTTTGCAAAGTGAATATAACCATTTTTCAACAGGAATTGGAATAAGTTCTCTGATTAGGTCAATTTTGCCGCTATTATACATTACATCACCTGAAATCAAGTTCTTATCTGATACCTAGCATTTAGTTGATCACCCATCTTAAACTGATCAGGTTTTATTTGACTTTTATGACTTTGTTTGATTGTTTTGGAACCAGTGTTTCAACATTTTTATGTTGCTGTAATTCCCTTGTTATTGGATGATTTGCCATAAAAAAAAAAAAAAAAATTGCTGAAAATAATGTTTAAAGAACAGAAATTTTAAAATAAAAAAAAATAAAATAATGTCACTTTTGCAGACAGGCATGAAAGTACTTATTGCTCTTCAAACCTGTCTGAAGGAAAATACTTAATGATGACAAGAATAAATACAAATGTGGGACTGTGCAGTTTAATATATGCTTCGAGAAAATTTCTGATTTTCTGCAAAGAGCTTTACATAGTCTGCAATGACAAAACTTGAGCCAAAATTTGTGAGTTTTAAATAATTAAAATATTTCAATAAAAATTATTAATAAAAAAAAATTAAAAATATTTTGAGCAAATTCAACTGGCAAATTCTATTTTAATTTATATATTTTCCCAACTAAAAAAATATTTTCTTTTATCAAAATTGAATTATGAATTAACTTTTAAAAGTTTTTTTTTTTTTCATTTTTTAATATTTTTAAAGTATAATACAATGTATAAATTATGTTATATATATCTATTATATATATAATGTATATTTAATTTCTCATGGTGATATTTTTTTTTTTTTAAAAAATTTTGGTTTAAAATTTAGATAAAAAAAATAAGTATCATAAAAAAAAACTTATGTCTGCATTTTAAGGTAATAATTGATTGTTTATTAGCAAAATTATAAAAATATAATTAATACTAATAATATACCATCATATAAATATTCAAAAATGCAAAATTGACAAATTTTTATATTAAAATTATATTCATCTGATGGACTCTCATTTTGGATGACAAATGACCTTAATAGTAAAATAAAAATTGGATTTAAAATTCAAATGTCTGAACGGTCATGCATATGTATGGTTTCTT